GTCAACTATTCTGGCAGTTTCAGAGGAAATGGGTTGTTAGCCATAGAGCAGCTGTAAAAACACAACCTCTTTTAAGCCCCCATAGATAACTTGAGTGACTCCACCTGGAACCAAATGTTTTTAAACCAGTGTCCATGAGGGAAAATGTATCTATTTTGGAAAATAAGTCAAAGCCTCATTGGAAAAAGGCTTCCTGGGCCATGAATTCTTATTTAAAAGGAAGGTCAAGGAATTTCAATGATTTAGAAAATACCAAATTCACTTTTCCTCCCCTCAAATGAAAAACATCCCACTGTGTGGTCAGAAACGAGGAGTAGCAGCCAAGGTTACAATGCCTGTAACTAGCAGCCTCGTTGCACAAGGCTGGGCTCCATGTGCAAACACAGAAACAGTGGAACGTGAACCACCTGCCAGCCTGCCATCTTAAGACCTTCCCCATGAAAGCCCCCGGCAGGAAGAAGATGCACTCACTGGATGAACTTCCCATCCCGGGAGTCCAGCTTCTCTAGCCTCTGCTCCCGTTCCTCATCTTTAGCGTGCCTCTTGAGGATGTTCAGTCTCTCCTCCTCCCGCCATTTGGCGTTTTCCATCATCTCTTGCCGTTTTCGCTCTAATTCCTCTGCGGAGAGTTTTCTGTTGAGCACAGAAACCATCCGATCAGGTCTCTCCCAGCAAAAAAAACAGAAGTAGCACAAGAAGCACAGAAGCCAGGTAGCACCCCAAGCTCTCCAGTTCACTGCTCTCTCCAAGTGCAAGGCCAGCCTGAGTTTCCTTCTAACATCCTGGTCAGAAGGTTTCATCCAAATTTCAAAGGCTTTTAGTAAAGTATTCCATAATCTCACTCAGTAATCTCTAGAGTGATTATTATGAAATATGAAATATGAAATAAATTGGGAACTCATCAGGAACCTAAACCTGTAGCAATTATATCCCAATGGTTTGCTCAACAATTTACCAAAGAACAGAAGTCTAGGTTATCCATGTAACTGTTAACATCTACCATCTAACTACCCATTGGAGACTAGAAATTCATGACACAGCCCGTGAGTACATTACTTTAGGACTAAGCTAGAAGCCAGAAGTTGAAGGAATAACTTAGCCTCAGAAAATAATAAATAGGGCCAGGCCTAGAGGCTCACGCCTGTAATCCCAGCACTTTGGGAGGCCGAGGCAGGCAGATCACCTGATGTCAGGAGTTCGAGACCAGCCTGGCCAATGTGAGGAAACCCTGTTTCTACTAAAATTACAAAAATAAGCTAGGTGTGGTGGTGTATACCTGTAATCCCAGCTACTTGGGAGGCTGAGGCAGGAGAATCACTCGAACCTTGGAGGCAGAGGTTGCAGTGAGCCAAGAGCGCACCACTGCACTCCAGCCTGGGCGACAGAGCGAGACTCTGTCTCAAAAAAAAAAAAAAAACCCCTCCAAACAAAAAACAATTTACTATTAAAACTCTGCTTCAGAGGCCGGGCGCGGTGGCTCACGCCTGTAATCCCAGCACTTTGGGAGGCCGAGGCGGGTGGATTACGAGGTCAGGAGATCGAGACCATCCTGGCTAACACAGTGACACCCTGTCTCTACTAAAGAATACAAAAAATTAGCTGGGCATAGTGGCGAGCGCCTATAGTCCCAGCTACTGGGGAGGCTGAGGCAGAATGGCGTGAACCCAGGAGGCGGAGGTTGCAGTGAGCCGAGATTGCACCACTGCACTCCAGCCTGGGTGACAGAGCAAGACTCCATCTCAAAAAAATAAATAAATAATAAATAAATAAATCTGCTTCAGAGATAATAAATGAAAGATATTAGAGCATTCAAATGAGAGTAGGAGACTTTAAAAAAAAACGAAAACGACTACCAGGCATAGTGGCTCTAGCCCGTAATCCCAGCACTTTGGGAGGCTTAGGCAGGAGGATTGCTTAAGTCCAAGAGTTTGAGACCAGCCTAGGTAACAAAGTGAGACCTCCCATCTCTGCTAAAAAAAAAAAAATTTTTTTTTAATTAGCTGGGCATGGTGGCATACCCTTGTACCCCCAACTAATTGGAAGGCTGAGGTAGGGGGATCAGTTGAACCCAGGAGTTTGAGGCTGCAGTGAGCCATGATCGCCCCAATGCACTCCAACCTAGGCAACACAGTGAGACTTTGTAGGGAGAATAAAGAAGTTATCAAAGAAATAATACAAGAAAATTTCCTAGAACTCAAAGACATGGTTTAGATTGTAGGAAGCAAATACTGACACCAGGAAAAAATACACACATCATACAAGAAAGGAAATGTAACCTCTATATTCTGCTTGGCTTAGGAATGAAAAGTATCAGTAAACAATATTTATATATCATACAAGTATGAATCCACATACTAATTGAACCAAAAATTCTGATATAACCATACTGAAAAGATAGGGATAGAAGAAACATGGGACTAGGAGTGTATGAAAGCTCATTTACACTAAGAGATTATTTACTATACCAGTAAGAAAATATCTGGGCTGGGCACGTTGGCTCACGCCTGTAATCCTAGCACTTTGGGAGGCCAAGGCAGGCAGATCACGAGGTCAGGAGATCAAGACCATCCTGGCTAACACAGTGAAACCCCTGTCTCTACTAAAAATACAAAAAATTAGCTGGGCGTGGTGGCGGGCACCTGTAGTCCCAGCTACTCGGGAGGGTGGGGCAGGAGAATGGCGTGAACCTGGGAGGTGGAGCTTGCAGTGAGCCAAGATCGCACCACTGCACTCCAGCCTGGGCAACAGAGTGACACTCCGTCTCAAAAAAATAAAATAAAATAAAAAAATAAAACAGTAAGAATATATCTAAGATCTGGCCGGGTGCGGTGGCTCACACCTGTAATCCTAACACTTTGGGAGGCCAAGGCAGGTGGATTGCCTGAGCTCAGGAGTTCGAGACCAGCCTGAGCAACACATTGAAACCCCATAAAAACTAAAAATACAAAAATTAGGGTCAGGTGCTGTGGCTCATGCCTGTAATCCCAACACTTCGGGAGGCCGCAGCAGGCAGATCACCTGATG